TTAACCAACGTTGCCAACCCGAATTGCAAGAGCAGCGACGTTGATTGCGAATGCGAGAAATATCGGGGTTTATAGTGGTCGTAAATTTTAGCAACGCCGTCGAGCCGGAGACGTGAATACAGAAGAGGGTAAGAGCTTGTTTGGTACAACTTCGTGTAGTTCTCAGAGCAACTCCAAAAGAGTTGGTAAAAATAGATAGCTAACAGCAACTCCAAGAGAGTAGCCATTTGTATCGTGAAATGCTATTTTAGACATTTTTGGAAGAATCATGGCTCCAACAGCTATTCTATCATGTTTTCCTAAATAACAAGTCATTCATCCCGCACTTCTCGCTGGGTAAAAATAGCATGCCATGAAGGCTCGCCATCTGCATGCTGGTGTGCAAGCAAGTGGCTGGAGTATAGGAAATGGGAAAACGAATCAATCTCAGCTTTACATGTCAGCTTTAAAAAATAGATAATGAGAAATTTAGAAAGGTTGTTGCACTGCTCTACTCTTTTGGAGGATATTCTATTTTAGAGAATGGCTAAATCATGGATTTTAGACTCTTATTTTACACAATCTCTTGGAGTTGCTTTAAACTCATGATTTAGCTAATCTCTAAAATAGAAATTCTCACAAAAACACGAAAAACTTCAACAACCTTTGTAGTACGGCGAGGCAGATGGCTAGCGGCATATGCAAGCTATATTTACCATGCGAGAATTCCGGGATAAATGGCTTGCTATTTTAGAATGTCAGATACAATAGTTGTTGGATTCTCTTTTCTTCCCAAAATAGTCAAATATAGATTACACAACATGAATGACTCTTCTTTTGGAGTTGCTCTAGTATAAATGAGGAAGCGATTTTTATCCTGATCACTCTTTGTAGTACGTTTGGCTGAGAGAAGTGATACCATGAAAAATATGCTCCAAGGAAGCTGCCAGACGCTGTAATTATAGATTCTAATAAGGCTAATTAACAGCCTTTTATGAGTAACAAAATGCATCAAATTAGTTTTACCACTCTTTCTTAAACTTCTAGTAACTCCAATATCAGCCTGGTTTGAAAACATTATGAAGAGTGGGGGAGGATTTGAAGAGGTGGCTGCATAAGCCTACTTTGTTAACAAATTTGTTGTATGGTTAAGGCTCTGTTTCACACAGCTTCTCACCAACAGTTTCATGAGCTATGGTGAGTTTTTTTTTTTTGCCAAACACCCTTTTTAAACACATCTTCATGGGTGAAGCTTTTTTTATGCTCTCACAAAGGAAAGAGGGAGGTGAAGCTGACAGAAATAGCTTTTCACAGCTATTTTCCTCATTTCTCTCTCTTAGCCATGCATGCATGAAGCTGTTGGTGAAGCTATTTGCCAAACATTTTTTCCAAACACAACAAAACAACTATCTTCACCAAGAAAGCTTCTCTGAAGCCATTTTCCAAAAAAAAACACCTTCAATAATAAAGCTGAGTTGTGCCAACCAAATAGGACCTAAGATTCCTTTCAATCTTAAAAAATTTGAAACGATGGCTTCCTCTTGCACCTTTAAAAGAAAGCGCTGACATTATTTTTGGAACGTAATGTGCACAAACACTCTACATACATGCACCCGCCCTAGAATTCTCACTTGCATATCCTGCGTCTAGGGGCAAAGCTAGAGAAAAACCAAAAGGGTATGCTTGTCTCATGCCTACAAGGATTTGTGACATAAAGGTACAAATATGATCTGTTTTTTATTTTTGTGTGGGTGCGGCCATACCCAATCTTCTGAACATAGCTCCGCCTTTGCCTGTGTCCATGACCTTATTATGCATTACGTTGGCTTATCTTAAACTTGATAAAGTAATTGTAACTTAGCCGACGCTGAAAAAATAATGAACTGTAAATATGTGCACCTATGCTAAATCAAGATTTAAACTCAAGTGAACATGTTCCATCATTTACGATACCTAACCAATACATCTACCTTATATCTTTTAAACCGGCCTCAAGAAAGTAATGCTTACCATACATTTATAAGCAAACAATATATACTTCTAACCCTTTTACCTGATGTAGTCCTCGGGTGGATCCTAGCCAAGATTCATGTTTACATGAGTGTAAATGTGTCTCTATTGTATTGTCTAAAGTTTCATGTTAGTTTAAACTTTAGATAAAAGTGGCAGAGTATTATTAGGGTGGAATATATAGTTAATAATCTCATCCCCTGCCCCAATACACGTGAGAGCCATCTGCCACATAACCCTTCCAACCCAACCTAATTATCCAGGGGCATTCCTGTCCATGGAGTGTGTATATATACTGCTCACGTCCACCCCTCTTTCTCAAGCCGTGACACAATCATAAACTGCCATTTCTCTCCTCCCTCTAGCATAGCTAGCGAGCTAACTTCCTCCCTCCCATCTCTCCACCATTCTTAAATCTAGAAACATCAGTCTGCTGATCTAAGCATGACGGCGAAGGTACACCCGAACGTCGCCATGCCGCAGTCCCTCGGCCAGCCGCCGGCGGTGGCGCCGGCGCCGGCGCCGGCCGACGAGGAGCCGGTCACTCTGACTGTGTGGCGCAAGTCGCTGCTGTTCAACGGCAGGGGGTTCACGGTGTTCGACGCCCGCGGCGACCTGGTGTACCGCGTGGACAGCTACGCGTCCGACTCCCGCGCGGAGGTCGTGCTCATGGACGCCGCGGGCTGCCCCGTGCTCACCCTCCGCCGCTGCAGGAATCTGATCGGCCTCGGGCTGGGATCCGACCAGTGGCTGGTGTACCCGGGCGAGGAGACCCGGCGCCTGCCGCCGCTCTACGCCGTGAAGCGGGCGGCGCAGTACATGCGCGGCGGCGGCGGGGGCGGCGGCGCCAAGTCCATGGCGCACGTCGCGGCGTGCTCTGGCGGAGCCGCCGCGAAAACCGGCGCCGGCGGGTACGAGGTGGAGGGGTCGTACCTGCGGCGGCGCTGCACAGTGTACGACGAGCGGCGGCAGGCCGTGGCGGAGGTGCTCCCCAAGGAGACCGTGGGCTCGGACGTGTTCCGGCTGGTGGTGCAGCCCGGGATGGAGGTGTCGCTGGCCATGGCCGTCGTCCTCGCGCTCGACCAGATGTTCGGCAAGCCGTCCCTGCTCAGGAGCTGGTCCTCCTAGTGCAGCGCTCTCTGTATATCGCCGCCGTGCCATTCCATTGGCATGGGTGCTTTTTTTCCCTCTTCTTTTGCCCCCCAATTGTTTGGGCCCGGAAGCACAGCAGTTGCTCATGGCTGCCATTTTTTTCGTTCCTCTTTGATATCAAAAAGCCGATTAAGGGCCGTTCGATTCCCCCCGAATCACTGCCAGGAACAGTTCCCTGCCGGAATCGTTAGTTTATTTGTATAAGATTTCATCAGCCGGAATGAATCCTGGTGTCAAATTGCCCCAAACGATCGAGCCCTAACTGGGGTCACTCATAGAATGTGAACGTGGATTGAAGCTCCTCTTGGCGTGTGTGGTTTTTTTTTTAACCCGGCACCCGGCAGTAAAACCATACACCTTGTAAAGAGGGAGCAAAGTGTAAATACTTCAAAAAAAAACAAAAAAAAAGAGGTTAGAGTAGGACAATTCCCCTCTCTCTCTCTCTGTTTTTCCCACTATTGCATTTTCTCATGCGCAGTCTGAATTGGGTTCGGAGAATCAACTATTTTTTTCAGAAGAAAAGGTTGGCATGCCAACAAAAATCACTTGGACAGTGTTGCTGTGTCGGTTCAAATTCAGTCCACACATATGCCATGTTCGTTTGGCTGATAAGTCATGGCTGAAAGTACTATTGGTTGATTTATTGTGAAAAAAAAATATTGTTCGTTAACTGTAAAAGTACGGCTTATAAATCAGGGCGATAAAGGAGGAGCGGGGCATGCTTGAGCTTGAGCGTCACGCTTTTTTGTCCCCCACTTCATGAGCCCCTGTACATACATGCTACCATGATGGAGTGGCGAGACTGAGACTGCACGGTGGATCCGGGCCAAGCATCTGGACTGCCCTGCCCGGGACCGAAATCCTAACGGCCTCGCCGGCACGCGGCGAAACAAATGGTTGGTGGCGTGCTTCCTTTTTCCAGGCGCCAGCCCTGGTCGGCTCAGCACTTGATCACTCTGGTTTGGTCTAGTCGTCTTGCTTGCCCCAAGCTAAGCTAGTGGTGCGTGTTGAAATTCCGGGCGCCGAAAGTTCTGCCGTCGGAGATCGCCGACTCGCCAAGGTGGTTGCGTCTTGGTCTTTCGGCACCAGCACCGCACCATGCGGGGTGGCCGTGAGGGCGGTGAGGTGGTGGAGCACAGACTGCGCCGGGGCCGGGCCGAGCGTAGTGGCCTAGTGGGTTGCCGCAGCATTCAGAGTTTGAGTTCGTTTGGAACGCAGGAGTTCCATTAGCAAACGCTCCAGTTCCCGTGTTGCAAACGAACCTCAGGCCTGTTGCTCCTCTCTAGTCAACCAAAGTTTAGATTAATCTAAATTCTGGCCACGAAAAAACAAGACTGAGTTGTGCTTGAGTATGCACTCTGAATTACAGTACTTCTCAAAGGAGCAGCATCCTCTCTGGTGACTACTGAGCACCCTCACCAGGCCTAAGACATTCAGTCAGAGTATAGGATTCCGCATTTCTGAACATACATACTCTTGGCATTTCAACAGTGAAAGCATTTCGACGAAATGAGAACTCAACGAATGAATTTCATTACTTGCAAGGAACATCCGTTACACTTGAACTCGCTCTGTGGCTGAGTTGAGGGACATAATCGGCATTCCCAAAAAGCTACATGCTACAGTGAAAACGCACAACGATTGCCATTCTACAACGAATCTGGATGGTTCTGATTTCTGAATGGGTGGAGAGAACTCTTGTCATGCTGAGATAAATAAGAATTGCCTCAAAAATGAACATACGTACCTGGTGGCTGGGGGTCCTCTTCATGCCCCCTGCCACGTGAGGCACAAGCTGTTAATACACATACAGGTGAAGATCACCGTGTTGTGGGTGAAAGCCGCCACAGTTTCAGCTTTCAGTTCGACCACACATGGACAAGGCCATGCCGGTTGCCAGTGTAGATCTCATCACGATCTTCGTCATAGTACAGAGCTGTGATGTCCTCAAGGGCCTCCGAGACCGTATTCTGGAACCTCCATGCTTTCTTTTGCTTGCATGAATTTCCAGGATTTATTTTGGCCAAGCATTTGCCAGTCAGTATGCTGCTGATGTTTATAGAGCCAGCTGCATTATAGGAAAGAAAGATTATTGTTCAATAATTTTATAAGCGCCAGCACAAGAAATGCAGTTTCATTCAATAATCTTAAAAGGAAGGATGAAATGCAATATTAAAAAAGAAGTCCCAGCCAAATACTAGGCACTATATTTGTCAGTTACCAAAAAGTTCGAAGTAGTGAATACCATGCGTGTGCCATTTTATGTACATCAAACTGAAGTGAAACAAAAAAACTACAGTGAATTCCATCCAAAACAGTTGACCAATTTATCAAACTGAAACAAAATCAAGCTTAGAACGAAACATGCATCATGAGCTATGAGATCAGGCAATGGCAATTTTAGTTAAATAGTTTGATCTGGGAAGCACATGAAACATGATCTAGCTGGCAGTGAAAGAACATTACAAGGGAAAATCAAAAGAACATAACCAGGAGAATACAACACGCACTGCAAAAAAAATTACAGGAGCAGTTGAACAATATATATAAAACATGCTCACCATTTTCTTCTGAAGATGAATCAGTTGAGTCAGCCTTGCAGTATGAAATAATAAGATCTTGATCACTTGTAATGTATATGTTGTTTGTGTTGCAGTCAGTGTGCCACAACAGGTGATCTTCAAATGATGTGACCAGTTCACCTCGAAAGTTCCAAACTGCTACTGATCGATTCCTGAATGTCAGGAACAGTTGCAGCTCATACAGAAAGATAAAGGCAGATGGAGTCATAAACTCAGTTCTGCTCACTTCTGTCAACTGGAAGTTCCTTACCTACAGATATTAGGTACACGAGTGAGTTCAGAGTTAAAACCCTAATGACGAAACAAATATTCTTTGTTTGATTGCATTTAGGTACAAGGCTTACATCCAGAATTTGAAGATTCTCTCCTTCCTGCTTGACCAGAAGCTTTTCATTGAACTGTTCAATGAAATCTACCTTCTTATTACGATGGAGAAGGTGGCTGAAGGACTTCAAGACTGTACCATCCTCAATGGAAAGAATCTTCAGAGGAACCGAGCTGCTTGTTCTTGTATAAATCAATAGCATTATCCCAGGGCTATGACAAGAAAAGAGATAATTTGAGATTGGACAAATGCAAATTGCAAATATGTACAGCCAACTGAAGAATCAAATAAAATACTTCAAGGTTCAAGCTGAAAGTATACAGACAAGATCTGCTGTAAGAACTGCTATTGCCCAGAGTCCATGCGCTAGTATATATCCTACCCTATATTTGAATGATTCTGTCCATTTTAAAGATGTCTAAGGGGGTTTTGGATCCCATGGGCTATTAGCCCTGGGTTTTGGATGCCAAATAGGAGGGTTGAACATGGGCTAATAAGAACTAGTGGGGCCTCAAGCCCATTAGCTTTCATTAGTCCCTGTTTAGCCCATTATCACAAGATGGGCTAATTCTCAGCCCCAGGATCCAAACACCCCCTAAGTGACAAACCTGCTGCTGTTATGACCTCTGATGTAAGAAACATTAAAATGATGACTGATCAATTTACCACACATCAAAGTCGAAAAGAAGCATAAAAGAGTATCTAATACAGTAACACACAGGAAAAGGGAACACAGGAAGAAGGAAATATCAAATTACCTGATCTTTATTTCTTGAACATTCTTATCAGACACCGAATACAGTAGCGTGTAGTTTTTCAAATCAAACACCTTGTAAGTGCTGTTTATTGATGTGATGGCATCAGAGCAGATTCACAGAAGATTCAGTTTCTTTTAGCCATTACCAAAATCAGTGACTCAGCAATCAGCATACCTGTCTTGAGCAGAATAAGTCAAAACCTTCCCATTGACATCATCAAACTCTACAAATCCAGGCCATTTCAATGACTCAGACTCGAAAAGAGGGAAACCAGCATCTGGTTGTCCTCGCTTGAATGTACCTTGAATAGTTGGGTTAAAAAGCTTAATGAAGATGACATAACAAAAAAAATTGCATTGATAACGCATATGGAACAACAAACATACTCTATTCGAGTTGTTCTGCATCGCAGAGCACTGAAATTTTCAGAACCATATACTGACACAGTAATGAGTGAATCATTATTCTTGTTGTAAAATAAACTGCGGATAACTTCATCTGGACTTCCATTCAGAAAGCATATTCTCTGATTTGTCTCTGGAAATATAAAAAGAGAATCTCAGGACAGACAGAGGAAGCAGAAATGGATTTCAAGAAGGCAGGAATGCCATACCTCTACTAAAAAGCAGCACATACTCCTGACTGTGATAAAGCAAAGACTATATCACGCTACTGCAACTATCTCAATGATTTTGACCTTTTCCTCAAGTAAGGGAGTAGCAAAGTGTTCTCCTTTGGATCATGAGTATCAAACTCTTCCTAAAAGTGACAGCAAACATGATTTATCAGAAACTTAAAATGCAGTCAATCGATGTTACCAAAAACAGAACTTGAGATAAATTTATTGCTGCACAGTGACAAAAAGACAGATATTGCAAAGGTTGACAGCTCTAATACGGTGATTTCCCAGCACAAAGTGATTGTGTTTGAGCATTGGAGTGCCAATGATAATACAAACCTAGTAATTCAAACTAGGATGACATCCTTGCTCTTCGTTGACTGCAGAATAAGTACTAAAATAATATTCAGAAATAAGAGACAAGATTGGCAAATTCATACTACAGAACAAAGACATCAACTGGCACAGAGGTGACAGTCAGTTACTTGGTTAGCAGCTGATTCCAGCATGTGTAGCACCAACCCAACTTGGCAGCATAGAGACTACAGCAGAGAATTGTAACTGGCATTTGCTACAGCCTATAGGGGATAAGCAGATTCAAACAATCCTAGATTATCAGGTTTGGACAATCTCAAACATCAGCATTTCAGCGCACAGTACCCTCTTTTTCCTTGACCAAGAAAATATCAATGTGCCCCCAAATAAAATAAAATAAAAAAGTGCCCCGGACTGAACAAATCAGAACTGTACAAATGCCTAAGCAGACCAGTGCGAAGGCATAGAGGGTTTTCACACACACACACACAGTCGCACAGATGAAGGTTAAATTTTTGGCGACTCCTCAAACAAGCATTGCTATATAAGCCGCACAACACGTATCAGACAATCTTAACCTCTCATCGGGCACACCGTTCAGCACTGAACTCCACTCGCAGCTACCAACAAGAATTCAAAAGCATGCTAAATAGATCTCACGTAAATCGGCCGGCTCACTCTAAACTAGGCCAGTGAGCACACCCCACCCGTAATTCCTCACACCAAGAACTGGCGGCTAACCACGAAAAAGGATCTAACTTGCTGACGCTTGAGATAGTGGTGACGGGGCTAGGGGCAAACCTGCAGCTGTATGTTGCGGAAGCGCTCCTGCGCGGCGCTCAAGGCGAAGGAGCGGTCGCGGCGGGAGCTGATCTCCCGGCGCTGCAGCTTACGCACGCTGCTCACTACGGCCTCCTGCCTCGGCCTCTTCCTGGCCGCCACCACCCGCCGCCCGCTGCACGGGCGCGGGCTCGCCGAGATCCGCCTCGGCTCCATTTCACACCCACGCCGCGCCTCCCACAGCAACCACGCCGCGCTCTCCGACGAAGAGGTAGGTTTGGGGGCGGGCCCCGTCAAGCCGCTGCGGCGAGAGGCATCGCTGGCGTGGCGGAGATGGCTCCCCGGTGAGGCCTAGGGTTTGGGAGCTCGAGCTCCGGCTCAGAGATTGGGGGGAGAAGAGAGAGAGATGGATGAAGGGAAATGGACAGGTGTTAAAGATGACGCGCCCTGGTAACCTCTGACATGTGAGGACGTAACGTCAGTGAGTGACGGGCTGCGCGGGCGGGATCGAAGAGTTGGCTACGCTGGTTTGAAATTTTCGGGTCGTGTCCGAGCGAACGCGACCTGGCCTCCTCTTGAAATATTTCGCTGATACGTGGGTCCCGATTTACTGGGTCCACCTATCAGTCAGATGGGTAGTCACGGAATGCGTTGGTGTTATACGAGATGAAGTAGCGCTCGGCGTGGACCGTGGAGCGTTCTATTTTTGGAAGGTTTTGGTTTCAATTCAAATTTTGAATGGAGCGCATCGGCCTGTTAGGCTGGGTGGGCTGGCCGTTGCTGGGCTTATTAGCCCAACCGTTCGGCAGCGTAGCCCCAGCCGAACGGCTGGTGTTATAAGCCGCAGCATGCGTCGGCGTCTCTCATTTTCTCCTCTTTCTCGTCGGTGACTAGGGTTCCTTGCACAAGCGTCGCTCGTCGTCGTCTCTCCGCGAGTTTCCCGACGGTGGTCTGCGCCGCGTCGTCGGGCCCCGTCGGTGGCCACCGGATCTAGCCGCGGACGCCTCTCTATGCCGTCCTCCTCGCCGGGGCTACGGTGACAGTGACGTCCGCCTCCTTCCCCGACCTCGCCTCCATCGATGGCACCTTCGCCCAGCAAGATAACCCCCGAATCCCACGTCGTCGTCCTCTCACCCAACCGCCTCTGAGCCCTAGCTCGTCGTCTTGTAGTTTGACCCCCGCGCGGCTAGGGTTTTCCCGCACTCTCGCCGGGCCTCGGTGACAGTGCTCTCCGCCTCTCTCCCCGGACCCCGCCTCCATCAACAGCGACTCTCTCTAGCACGGTAAGCCCCCCGGAACCTGACGCCACCGCAGTCTCACCCGGCCGGATCTGAGATCCAACATGTATTGATGTCTTTTACTGTATGTGTAAGATAGAAATCCACAAATCTTGTTAGATTGAATGTACATTTATTTGAGGAAGTTTCTGATATGTGCTAGAACAGCTTGTATCAGGTTGAAAAATTTTACAGATTTGCAAATAAATGAAAGGAATTCCAGCTGTGTAATGAATTTGTGTTGTTATTTTTTTTATTTCTATATTATAGATCTGCTCTACCTACAGATCCGTTGTACCAGGTTGTTGTATTCTTAAATTACTGAACCATCTACTAAATGGCAATAGGAAATCTTGAAGTAAACTACTTAACCCTGTTTGAATTGTGGCTAGCATCAGGGTGGATGATTAATTTTTAGAAAAGACTGACATATCCATGCTCTCTTCCGGCTCATGTTGCCACAGTGCCCACCTCCACCTCCCACTGTTTTCAAGGCCAATCCATGTTTTAGCTTACTATACCGTATGCCAATCTATGTTTCCAAGGCCAAATCAAGTTGTCACAGTGCCCATCTAAGATTGGTTCTATTTATGTTGGCTCTTTTTCAAATGATTACAATGAGAACCACTACAAATCAATCACGCCTCACCACAGACCCACTCACTTTGATTTGGGATTTTATGGGCACCGCTTTGAGTTGGTACAATTGTAATGTTGAGCATTGGGTCCTGTGAGTATATTTCTTCTCGTTGCGATCCCATACCTTGTAGTTATATAGTTTTTCAGGTGATTATTGAGCAAGGAAATTGGACCCAAGCATGCTTTGTAGTAACTCTTGGCCTAGTTGACCTCTACATCAAACCCGACATTGTACATGTCATCTTTGTACATATGATGTGGTACATTTGTTTTGAATCAAAGTATACTAGTAATTGATATATTTAATGCAATGTCAAAGGTAGTATGATTATGCAAGCAAATTATGTATTCCCTTCCTTTCTTTTTTTTGCTTGTCGTCCTACAATGTGCACCTAAACTTTGCAAACCAAACATGGAAGTATGACTAATGAAATTACAACACTCACTGCTCCAAAGTTCAAAATGTGAGACAAGGAATTTTGAGGTAGATATTCTATTTTCGATTATGTTTAATAAAGACACATTTAATGTTCTTCACCACTGCAAATGTTTTATTTTCAGATTAGGTTTAACATCTTACAAGTGTGCTCTATGTTTGCACTGTAGACATTTTAGGGACGTTTCGTCCGCTGAGTGACCAACGCTACCCAAACTGGCAGCGTCGTCGACTTCGTCTTGCTCTCCACCTGCTGGCAGTCATTACAACCTCCGCTCAAAACGCCGCAAACGGATCCAAAAGGCAAGTTCTCTTTTCCGTCGCCCACTCTCAGCTTTGCATACTTGAACTATCATCCGTATGACATAACATATGCATCCATGTACGTAATCCCTTCGAATGCCGATCCTTGCATCAGATGAGCCAGGACCGTGCTAGCTGGGATGACAGAACCTGCTCTCTGCTTCTTGACCTAATCATCAAGCAGAAAGACCTCTGTCACTGGAACGCCATTGGTCCAACCTCACTAGGGTGGACCAATGTCATTCATGGCTTCAATGAAGTCACGAGGCTCGGGTACAACAAGAAAAAGTGCGAACAAATACAACGAAATAAAAAGCGTTTGTATTTCAATTGGCGATGACAGACGCACTCCATCTTGGGCTGAGGCCATGACCCGCTTACTGGAGAGGTTACAACTGACCCCGAGTGGTACGGCGCCAGTCCCGGGGTACTAACTACACGCATTTCCTTGAATTTTTTTAGCAATTAGGTTCCCACTAACTCAGTACTAACTTCGCCATCACTGGAACACGTGCAGGAAAGTAGCCAACCCCCTAGAGACAAGTTCAGACGCCCCCAATGCTGTGAGCAACTGATCACGATTTTGGGACGCACCCCACGTGACAGGGGCGAGTTGGTATCGGCGGGGGGCCATCAACCTCACAAGTCACCTAGTAGTGGAAGCCCTCGCACTCCTCTGTCCTCGTCGGATGATCCGATCCTACCACATAGTGGTCCTCAGCCCTCGAAGAGAGTCCATAGGGAATATTCTGTTAACAGTCCTCGCAGTAAGAAGAGTAGGCAGACTCCATCCGTGGAAGACTGCCTTGAAGACCTAGGCCACATTATCAGGGAAGCTAGGTCCCAGAAGGCCCGTCAAAGCACAGATGCTGAGGAGTTGGCCCAAGTCCATGAGATTCTGTTGCAAGATGGTATCAGCGAGACTGATGTAGTATTCGTGCAAGCCCTAAACCTTTGCAACAATAGGCTCCGTCGTCAGGCTGTTCTTAATATGAAAACTAAAGAGGGATGGCTAAACTAGATCAATGTGACGTGGGGCTTCGTGTGCTCCACAAAGTCCCAGTGATCAGCACATTTGTTCAGGCTGCGGTTTTTTCTACTGTTTTTCTGTTTTCCACCATGTGCATGTTGAGTTTGTTCGTTGTTTCGTTATGTTCGTTTTATTTGTTTTAACAAAGACCGTTGCGGAGAACTAAGTGCATGTCGTTGTCTCGTGTTTTGAATAAAATATTCATGTCGTGCTGTGAGCGTTGTAAGACCTTATGCATGTATCACTTTTCTCTTGTTCATTCCTTACATACATTTGTCTAACATGGCCATGCCACCTACCAAGTTTAGGTATCTTGACATGTTCACTTATTAGCAAATGTTTTGTTCCTAATATATGCATTAGCATCTTACTGATTTGTGCCCATTTGCAGGTAGCATAATGAGCAGCACGGACGAGTCATCGTACAGCGACACTTCCAGTGATGGACCGAGCACTGTGACCTTGGCGAAGGCAGCAGTTGTCCTTCTGAGGTTGAAAGTTATTATGTCGCAGCAAATGCCTGAGGTAAATCCTCCTTGTCCCATTCCTAAACTATCTGGAGCCCAATGGATGTAGCTTACCCTTGCCGACCAAACCAAATGTATAGACAATTTACACATGACGCGTGATGCCTTCATGCATTTGCATGACACCCTGCTGTCGTTTGGCCTGCCATCAACAGATAAGTGTACCTCGGTAGAAGCTCTAGGCATGTACATCTGGACCTATGCCCACCAATCTGCAAGTAGAGAGTGCAAAGATAGGTTTGAAAGGTCTTTAGATACAGCTAGCAGAAAGATAACAGCAGTTGCAGAGGTCATGTATAGGTGGGCAAATACTGTCCTAGTGCCCACAGATAGGAACTACGCACGCGTAAGGCACAAACTTGCAGCATATGCACCATGGTTTGATGGATGCATAGGTGCTATAGATGGCACGCACATAAAGGTTGAGGTTAACCGTGAAGCAAAGGCTGATTTCTTCAATAGGAAAGGCGAAATAACAATTAATGTTTGTGCCATCGTGGATATGGATGGCCGTTTCACATACGTGGGGGTCGGGAAGGCGGGGGCATGTCATGACATGGCGGTGTTGAAAGACTGTCAGGGCGACGTTTCATTCCCACATCCCCAGCAGGTTCGTGATGCCTTGATGTTCACATTCCGTAATTGTTTGCTTGTACTAGATGTATTGAAGCATACTTCTGTTCAATTTGCTATGGCAACTGATATGTTTCTGTTCTCTATGCCTTAACCAAATTTTGCTGCCCCTTTGTTGTAATTTGTTATGGCAGCTGGTGCCTACATATTGTCTCCTTATTAAACATTTTGCAATTTGATTTCTCATTATAACAATGCTAATATATGAATTCCCAATACAGCAATGCTGATACATTTGTGTTCTCTATGTCATATTAATTAAGTTCAGGATTGCAAATGATGAGATTGTCATGACTGTACCTAGTAAGTGATCTGTTGATAGGACTAATTGGTGAACTATTGTCATTTCTTGTAGGCCGGTACTACCTGGC